CAAGTAAGATGACGAGAAAATGCCAAAGGGACCAAAAAAATTTCTTTGTCTTGCTCTTGTCCTGCCAATCTCGCATCTTGTAAAAGATAATCTCATCGAGGATAGCTTGACACCTCGGACTTGAAACAAACTACAAGTACACATACAGATAGACGTATTAGTTTATCAGAACAAGCCCAACAACTCCAGAGATACGTTTCTCAAACCCTTATTCTTTAAGCATATCTGAAACTCTGTACGTTTTTTATTTAACGTTGAGCGTGACGAATTGGTCTTGGAGGCGTAAGACTTCTTCTTTCGCGAATCCCGTATTTACGCCTTTAAGTGTATGACATGAAAAATAGTTCGTGCATTAGAAGGTCGCTGTCTCTTTGTAATATAATGCGTTTGCATGTCAAGGGTCGATTCCCCGTTAAATAACTCGCGAATTTAATATTATTCACACGGCCATCGGCTGTAAGTGTAACTGCTGCCAAATGAATAGATTCTTGGGCAAGGCTGCAGTTTCGATTCTTTCTGAATCTCTTCAGTTGCCTCCTAACAATAAATTTGTCACGGACGAATAACAGGAGTCGCGCAGGACCGCAAACACTTTCGAAGGAACGGCAACAGACAGTGAATCGCCATTACATTCCACGTCTATTCACGCTGTCTTGCTGCCACCAGAAATGTTCACTCGACCGCAACAGGGTCCAATGACGCGCTTTTCATTTTACGACTATGATGCAACGCAATCAGAATGCGCACACCGCCTGGCTGCGTGTAGAAATCACATTCCTACGGCGCAAATAACAATAATTCCGTTGTAATGCAAGCTTAGTTACATCTTCCGAGAGTGACTTTCGTAATCCTGGAGTACACGCCAACTCCAACTGGAGTCTTTTTTTCTCATTGGTGGTGTAAATAACGATACCAATTTCTTAAATCATTTATTAAAGTTTAGGAAAGCTGGGCAATTCGTGGGACCGTTAAACATTTCAGATTCAAAACTATATCGTGCTTCACGACGAGCTTTTCCCTAGAAAAAAAATACATGCAAACTAAGCTGAGGCGGATCTAAGATCCGCCGGGCAAATGTTAACTGTAAGAGAAGAACTGAGTTCGCACCCACACTACGATCGAGATGAATTTTCGGTACTTATTTTTTTGGCACTTTTCGCTGTCCAATTTGCATGGCAAGAGTAACCCAAAACCTTTAAGCCGACCTTTCTTGTTATAATACGAGCATATGTTTTCCAGATAGGGTACACGCGTTAATGTCAGCGTCACTCGCGTTCTTGCATCTCGTGAAACATACAATGGAAGTTTGCTGACCCACTCTATTGGTACAAGCAACTGGATAGTGGTTAAGATTTGAAAAGGATGAAGTTTTTCACCAAAACCACGTAGTTTTCAACGCTAACAAAGTGAAACCGTAGTAACGGTATATCCACTCCGGAAGATAACACCGTAAACAACAGTAAACTCTAACCGCGATGAGAACACTCATGGATCACACAGCGCAGCTAAACTCAAGTTTTTTTTTCCCGATAGTATTGGCTTGCAAAGAAATAGATAACGGAGTTTTTTGCGCCTTTCGCCGGCAGCACTTAATTGGCAAATGCTAAGGAAGTAATGTAACTTAAAGCGATCGTTAAAGGAGTAAAATCTTAGAAGTTTTTTTTCCCGCCGGGGTTTCCTGGCGCTCCGCAGCGAACACAGCTAACTTCATGTATTAGGCTGCGAGAAAACAAACGAAAACTAGTAGAAAAAGTTCTTCACTCACAAAACTCTTTAATAATCTATGACCAATTTTACATCAGGTATCTGAAGTTGTTTTTTTAAACAAGGGAAGTTATCACACTTGAGAGTAGAGTTGGAAATGTAAATGCAATGGAATACGTTACGAGAAGAAGTATATTTTACTCGTTGGTAATTTTGTTCTTTAAATAAAACATCAACGAGATCTTGGGGGAGACACCAGAAAGTCAGTCAACGGAACGTGCACTTAGTATATGGTGTTGATTCAGTTCGAGTTGGTTGCTTATCGCAACAGGATAACTAATTTTTAGTCTAAAAAAGGTGGAATTTCCATCACGGTTTTTCATGGTTAACGTTAAATTAAATCTATAAAGGAAAAAAATTGTACAGTCAAGACAAGTAAATTTAATTTTGTCGAGATTCAAACTCAAAATTAGCTTGTTACTGAGGCACAAACGCACAGTCTCAAATGAACCAGCTCCCCAAGAGAGACAGAAACTGATAAAAAAGGACAGGTTCAGCCTTCAGATAACAACCGCCCAAATAGGACTGACTACCCAAGAGTGACAGAACCAGTAGAAAACACAAGGTTCTTCCTTCAGATAACTACTGCCCAAATAGGGCTGACTACCCGAGAGAGACAGAGCCAAGTCAAAAGAAACAGGAAAGGTTCTGCCTTCAGATAACAAAGGCCCTAACAAGACTGACTGCCCAAGAGAGACAGAACCAGGTGAAAAAAAGGGAAAGGTTCTGCCCAAATAGGACTATTTCAAAACATAGGCACGCTATGCATGCAAGAGTTACTTTTTTGTAGGGTGGGTGGATTACTTGAAACATTGTGAGTGATCTCTACATTCTTACAAAAGGAGAGAAGAATATTAATGTGGGAAAGAACGAAAATGTCGAATTACCTCACCCACAGGTATTTTGTGGTAGATTATGTGTGTTTTGCGAATAAATGGTGCCTTTGACACTACGAAACAGTGCAGTACAATTAGTTAGAAAACACACTAACCAACCAAGAGCCCGTCATGTTACAGGGAAGGATTAATCGAGCTGTGATGTAAGGATTCATTCCATAATTAGTTCATCTTGCTAATGTTAGGTTCCAACAGTTGAAGGAAACACCATGTGATATCAAGCATCTGCCATCAAACTACTACAGGAATAATTCGTTTTCCTGCTTCGAAGGCACAGAAGCAAAGGTAAACCTTGCTTTGCTGATAAAACGGTTCAGGCATCATTTTCAGCTCACGTTATTAAGCAGGGAGATTCACCGAGCGTCATTACATAGCTCAAGACAGAAATCATCAAGCATACAACGGCCTACTGTAATTTGAGAAACGAAACGAAATGAAAGTCTGTTATATTGCGAAATGGAAATATGCTAATGATTTGCAAAATATAAATTTCTATTTTGCAAATCATTAGCATATTTCCATTTCCCAAATTACAGATTTTCATTTCGTTTCGTTTTGTTTCGCAAATTACAGTAAACCCATACAACCTAAACTTAACGTCAAATTGGTCAGGCCAGCGAGTAGAATTTCTTTCTCGCCAAATAATACAGTTAAGTCCTAGATACCGCAGAACACACTCGTACCTTCGCACGGAAAGTTCCCGCGCTTACCTGATGACTTATCAAAAATGATATTTCAAACTGAAAGAGCTCCTTAGTTATGACATAGACGCTGGAAATGTATTATCAAAAAATCTCAATTTTTTCAAGCGTTAAATGATACTCCTGTCTCTTCAGAACATAATGCAGTTGAAATCTCCCTCGAAAACAAGGTCCCTGCCGAGCAGCTCACCGGCCTCCATGCTGACACAGAGTCAAAGGTCTGATCAGAATAAATTATCAGTTAGCTGGCAGAATTTAACGATTGTATTGTCGTGGCAGAACAGATAATCGCTCTTTGTGTCACAACGTAACCCAATAAATCTGCAGATGCCGAGTACAACAACTGTTACTCGATTGTCATTGTTAGCTAAGCCATTCTTTTCGCCGAATCATTCTGCAATTGCGAAAATTTTCATTCATACTATGATTGCGTAGTTATTTCCAAAGAGAAAATTGTTCGGAAGAGTCATAAATTTACGTAGCAACCGTCGACGTGCAAGCCGCGCGGATCCTCGCGCTTGTTTACATTTAAATTGTCAACTTAATTAATTTCACGTTCGAAGCCAAACATCTCTCCTTCACTTGCTAATTGAGTCCTCTCGCTTTACATTGACAAGCTTATAGAT